TCATGGGGCCGGGCTGTGAAGCCCTGTGACACATGTGAAGGGCTGACCCTCCAACCTCCCTGGAACCAGTGGCGGTGTTCCTTCAGTAAAAGCCTCAGCTGATCTAGGATCAGGATGATAAACGCTGCCACCTGGGCCTCCCTGACTGTCGTCATGTGCCGGGTAGTTGTGTGCGACTGTAATAATGAATCCACCGATGGGTTTGTGGCTGATTCTTAGTGCTTGACTGAATGTTTGTTCTTTCTGTGCCTCAGCTCGCTTAGCTTGTTTTCTCCGGCTGCTCGTGCTCTTCACCGGGTCCCAGCATGCTTTGCAAATACGGAGACATGATTAGAACATGGGCGCCGTCTGTGCTGGCCAGCCTTCCCCTCTTTGTTGTAGTTCGTCCAGGCGATGGACGCGTTGGTCAGTCTGGTCTTCTGTCTCTCAGAAGCTGATGTTTTGCCCCTCTGGTCTTCCTCTCAGTGCCTCACTCTGCCTCACTCATGTGTTGATCCATGTGCCTGATGTGTGACAGCAGCTGTGGTACTGAGGAGGATTATTGTTGGTAGTTTGATGGGACAGGACAGTCCGGCCTTCAGCTAGCATCCTCGTCCCACAGCAGCTGGTTCATTTGTACCGTCAGCGTCTTTAGCCAATAGGAGTGAATCTTATCAGGGCTCGGTGCTCTCCAGCTCTTCTTACTGCAGACGTTTGTTAGATGTCTCTGTGATGGTTACAGGAAGGTTGATGGAGGGCGGGCCCTGACCCGGGCAGAGACACTAACTCTCACAACTTCATACAATAAAACAGTTTTAATATTGCATATCCTGTATATATTACCCCGTGACAGCGCGACAGTACACTTTAAATTCTGACTACACCCACACATCAGCTACACGTGCTGTTTTACTTTATTCTCAGAGTTCAGTTTATTCTTACTTTAGATATTAGATATTTTAGTTGTTTAGCTGTGTGAAGAGTTGCAAAGTAAGAATTTCATTGCTCTGCGTAACCACTTGTGCATATGGCAATAAACACACACACACACACAGTTTTAACAGAAAATGTAACTTTTCCTCAGGAAGTGGATGATTGTTTTTATTTATTTCATTAACTGGTTTTCCTGCTCGTTCTCTGCAGCACCTTCAGCGCAGCCAGTGACCTACTGGACCTCCAGCCGACCTTCCAGCAGCCTCTCTCCACCAACATATGGGGAGGTGAGGACACCTTTGTGACTGGAAACACTTCAGCCTACACAGTCACCACATTAAGACATGTCACACAGTTATAATTCAATTGGTAAATGGTAAATGGACTGGTTCTTATATAGCGCTTTTCTACTCTGTCCGAGCACTCAAAGCGCTTTATACAGCTAATTCATTCACCCAATCACACAAGCACTTCTAAGCTTAAGTGCTGAGTATCTAACATTCACACTCCGATGGATGCATCG